GGCGACCGCCGGACGGGGAACAAATTCTTTTAGCTCGTCGGGATTGGCGGGGTACGGGTTTTGTTCAAGATGCGAGCGGGTGAGGTAGGTAAGGCTATTTTAAAAATATGCGGGGTTCGGGCGGGTAAAGAAATTTTGCGGAGAACGATGAAGGACCGTAAAAATTTATCGATAAATGTCGCTATTGTAGATACGTACTACGATGTATATTTTGGTTGGTTCGTTATTTTCATCCTATTAGTAGCTAGAAGTAGTGATGGGCCTAAACTCTTTATATTGGAAAGGAAAGAACGAAAATAAAAGTTCTTACGACTATGGTGCAAGCAAGACGTCATTTTTCTTTCCTTCCTGTACGAAATTATGAATACCGTGTTCAGCAATGACAGTTAGATATATGTGATTCCGTAATTTCGTACAGGAGGAAAGAAAAATTACGTCTTACTTGCGCCATAGTCGTAAGACTTTTTATTTTCGTTCTTTCGCTTTCGCGTTAGTTTCGGCCGATCACTAGCTACAAGCTTTTGTTTCTTCCTTTCCTTATCGTTTCTTATATTGAACTCTGATTATTGATTTATATTCACAAGCGAAAAAACAAACAAAAAGATCATTTAATATTTAAAATTAATCTTTGGAATCGATTGACTCTCTTACCAATAACAATGATCTAGTTAAATGATTTATCATCTGATGAATCGTTTGATAATATAATGCCCTCGAATGCCTCTCGTTCACATTCAAAACTTGAATATGAACAAGAGGTATTCGATGACATCATTGCTTGGGTCAGCTGCAGCTCATTCAAAGACCCACGTATAAACTTTGTCTCAATTTTGGGGTGTGTGGGGTGTGGGTATGGGTGGTGTTGGTGTGGGTGTGGGTGGTGTGGTGTGGGTGTGGTTCTTCTCTGAGTCCACCCACAGCCACAACTACACCCACTCGCAGTCACACCCACACCCACACCCGTAATCGATTCTGGGCGACAGGATAGCGGATAATTCTACCTTCGATTGTAAAATGGCAACAAAACACCTTCACTTTATCTGAAAAAGAGCAATTAATTCGTGAAAATGAAGAGAACGCGTCATATCGAAAGGAGTCGAACAAACAAAGATTAACGATTTTTTTGATAAAAAATAAATAGATATACATAATAGATAAAAATACTTTTTTGACTAATTTTTGTTTGAAATTGAATAGATGTGTAATCATTTACAGATAAAAGATATTCTTTTTACTTTGTTACATCATAGTTGAATAAATATGCGTAATAGTTGAAGAAGATATTTTTTTATTTGGCATTAACTGTAGTAGATTTCAATATAAATTGTGCATAGTTATCATTCGTCTATATTAACCTTACACTGTATGCATGTAAACCTTCATTCAATGTGAAACCTTCATAAGCTGAGCATATCCTGTAATGAACACTTGTTAAAAAATCCCGTTAGCGTTCATCTTAGAGAGGTTTTACTGTAATAAGTCTCGTGAATTACTCCATCGTAATACGTACATTTTAGAAATAAAAGAACAAGAAAAATTATCCTACTATAAAGTTAAAAGTCTGAAGTATTCTAATGCAAAGTAAATATTTGCCAAAAATAGACCATCTGTTATTTTTTCTTTTCAAGATAAATAATAGTAATAAAAGAAGGATAGTTGGATAGCCTTTAAACATTAGCTGATATATAAAAACAGTGTTACCACCGAAGAGGACGGCTTAAGGACATTTTGAAATGAAATTCATGAAGCTTTTAATATTATTATTGATCGGATGTCTTTTATTTACTGCTGTGCAATCGAAACAATTGGTTAGTAAAGGTTTAATTATGCATGAAGGTAAATCATTCTGTTTAACACCATAAATTGAATCAAGAAATAATTATGTGTGAATTTTTTTTTCTATAGGCACATGTCCTCAACCACCATTAGGCTTAATGTGTCGTCGTATAGCCTGTATGCCTCAAATGGTAGAAAGAACTTGTAAAAATGATGGTGGATGCAAAGAAAATGAGAAATGTTGTCGCATACCATGTTCGTGTAAAATAAAATGTGTTGCAGTATAAGAATAGTAGATTAATATGACTTAATTTGCATCATCAATTTTAAATATTCGTATTGGTCTGCTTTTATCATTTTTAATAAACACTTATGACTATCTTTATACTAATTCTTTATGTCTGCCAGTTCCTCACGCTTCTATGGTAGATAGCATCACAGTCAATGTAGACCTTTATGAATATTCTAGAAAACTTTGAGAATCTCAATAAGGAAGAAAGTAGCCAAGAAATTATCTTCATTATGCATGCAACGATCCGAGCGAGGGTTCGGTGATTGGACTCAGGTTCGCATGTTAACGAGTCGACTCTGGCTCGGGCTTAGACATTAACCCTTTGATGGGCGGTGGTCCATATATGGACAACTTTTTTGTTATCATAGAAATACAATAAAACAGTCAAAATAATTCTGCTAGAAAGGAAAATATCACTGTATGAATGACAACTAGTTTATGCACAAGCAACTTTTGTTTTCAATGCTTATGCTCTCCTTCTATAGTTAATTACAAAGATGAGCGCCAGTCATTTTCACTTTCATCAAAGAAAATGAAGAAATCTGAGAAACTTGGAAGTTTGCCTTGCGTTTCTATCCAAACTTGGGTAAAACCTATGTTATTTTTTTATGCAACAGTGATCTCGTTGGTTGTTTTGATTCAATACACGACTCTTGCGCCATCTGTATGCCGTGCAATAAGTTTTTACTGACGTCGTCTATACTGGCCAAAGTAGATGAGGTCATTATGTTCATGGTTGATCAGAACATTTTGCTTTTTAGACAGTTCTAATACTATGGGAATAATCCAGACGGTTCCGATAGAGTATATAAGATCAATCCGTAGAAGAGAATTGAAAATATCCTACTTCAAGGGGTATAATATCTGACCTTGGAACTGAAGAAAACAGACAACAGTGTATATCTGCGGAATTCTGAATTGTTTCGATCAAGATGAGTAGTTTGGTAAATTCGATGGCCAAAGCAAATCTAGATGAGTTTGAAGAAACTTCATCAGAGCATCTTTCTGAGACGGATGTGAATGCTTCGAAAGACGATGAAAGTGATTCAAGTGATACAGATGCCGAAGACGATTCGGAAAGTGACGAAGATCATGGTGGTGAAGATAGCGAAGATTATGGAGACGGTCCAAAAAGTGATAAAGGTGATTCCGAAGACGCTGAAGGTGAAAATAGAGCGGCATTGCAGTCCTCATTAGTTTACAACAGTCTATGGACGGCAAACTTCTGTCCTCCTCCGATACGAGAGTTTCAAAAATCAAGAAAGTGTTTTGGCGTATAATCATCATCTCCTACTTAAACATTTAGAAGACTCTGTTGTGATAAAGTGTTCAATCTCATTCTTGAACAGACGAACATCTATGGAAGACAAAAATATGCAAAAGCAGGTGATACTACATGTTGGATCGATATTACAAAATCTCAATTAGAAAAATTTATTGGTATCAACATCATCATGGGATATTGTAGAAATTCTTCAATTAATTCTGATTGACCCACGAACGACTCTTTTCGAAATGAGCGTGTGAATGTGGTGGTGTGGGTATGGGTGTGGATATGGATATCGGTGATACAAATACCCACATTCACACACCCACACCTCACACCCCACACCCTGAACAAATAACTGAATAAATCATATTCTACATTTACAACCTAAATATAAACATTCGAAAGTTAAAAAAAGACTTCGTTGTTCTATTCTGAATAGTATCTTTTTACGGAAAAACTATAATGTGAATGTTAATATTTGAAAGTTCTACCAGATAAGTTTTTAGCTTAGTATTTTCAAATAGGCTGTTATATCACTTCACCTCTACTTGCAGAAAAAATTAATTTATTAACGTATATCAATGTGCTTGTCGATAAACGTTGCCATGTTATTGTTCGTATTTGCTTTATTTAATTTTAGATAAGATTGCTTGTTATTACCTATTCTTGAGTAAAATGTTCTTTTTTTTTATATGTGTTATTTGTTCTCAGTGAAATAAGTAGACAACATTTGAAGAAAGAAAGTTAGAAAAAAAATATGTTGAGTTTCATAATAATTCAATAGCAAGACATTGTGATTGTTTTACTTCGTTTGATTCTTGACTAAAGACGATGGTAAAGTATATCTTACTGACATCAAAGACTGGATACTTGGTACAATACTTGCCAGTGAAAAGGTTCTTCTATCTTGCGCTCATATCTAAGACTGACACTGGCACACACATTGTGAATAGGCGTAGTACATATGTTAGAACTCGTGGGCAGTGTTTGGATGCAGATGTAAAATCACATTCAACGGCAGAAAAACTCACACCTATACCCAGAACTATAATTTAATATGAGCAAAACAGAAAACGTATTTCATTGCATTGAACCAGTTTATGTACACGTCTCAAGGTTAGAATTTTTGTTTGGATATATCAATGGGTTTTATTAAGCATTCTTAGCTTTGTAGACAATCATTCTCAAAGATATCAAGAATCAAATTTCAAAAATTCTGAGACCTAACGGCGATGATATTAACATGAATTCTTTTCTCACATAGCGAGTGTGTAGGTGTGTAAAAGCAAGATACACACGTGAATCCCACATCGATAGCTTTATTTTTAAACAAACTTCATTCTCGATAATATTTATTCTTTTAATTGAATATCTTCATTGTCAATTCTATTCAGTTATGGTTCCATAAGTTTTATATGAATTACAAATAATACTACCAACATATGATGACAAAGGGGCTTGGAAATTATTTCGATTTTCAATTAATTGTTTCACAAATGTCAATGGATTTAATGTGAATCGAGCTTGATTAATTGATAAGCAACGACGATGATTTGAATCACTAACAAATTCATCGACTGCAATCCAACCATTTCCAAAAGCTGCTTTTTCGATAGAAGTTCGTGGCTGAGGACATAAACTTAAGCATTGACAATAAGCTGTTTGCTCGTCAACTATATCAAAATACCGTGTACCATTGAAGACAAATAATTGAACTAACCACTCATTTGCTATAAAGTAAGGGATGATTCTATTAGAGATCCCTATTAGCGAAGGAACTGTGAGAGTTGGAGTGTTGACAAATATCGATTGAAAACGCTTAACACGTGGTAATAATAAGCGTAGTGTGGTTACTGGTGATTTGGATGTCAAGTAAACCATCAACCAGTTAGCTTCAAAAGCAGTTATAAAAATAATATGTTGGTTTCGATAGACAATAATCCATCGTGGAGGACGCATAAATGGATCTAATGATATTAATTTTGTTTCAGTCACACGCTGAAATTCGGTCGAGATCCAAAAATTTGATGGCCAACTGTTTGGTTGACATTGCTTAAAAAACTTGATACCAGTAAAAGCATGTGGTAATGGATGAAACACATTAGATAGTCTTGCCAGGTTCATAACTTGACTATTTATGTCACACAATTGTATGATTTCCGTATTTAGTCTGGGACAACAGGGCTTGGAAGATAGAGGTTGTGCTAATTGTCGTTCTTCTTCCAATTCATATTCTAGTTCTCGCTGTTGTTCTTCATCTAACAATTGAGATAGACGTTGTTTTGTTCCGCCATATTCGTGCAATCGTCTTAGTACAATATTGTGAATGATTGTTGATGAATGATGATTACACTGTTGGCATCGGGCAATATAAATTTTTTCAATTATCTCTAATACTTTAGCTGTACCCTGCATATGTTTCAATTCA